CCAGAGAATCAGACCAGGACATATATTCAAACTTAGGGCAAAGGAAAGCTCTCATTTTCTTCTCCCTAGCTTTGGGATTGTGAGAATGAAAATGTGGATCGGCAGGCAGCCATGGTGCCTTTGAGAAGGGAAACAGACCCCTTTGAGTGACAGCAGGACTGAGAAACAGAGAGAGACAGCCCAGGGATATATTCCAAAGCTCAGTGCAGCTCTGCTGGAGCGAACTACGTTTCCCAACCATGTGAGCCACTGAGCTCCTTGTTTGTGTAGGTTGTAGAATCCAGATTTTAGTCACCTGCAACCAAAAGAGTCGCAATGTGTCTTCCCAAATCCAAATTGTTCACAGAACTTTAGGTCTGGAAGTAAATGCAGAAATGAAATCTAACTCTCACGTGTATGTAGTAGAAACCCGGGAACCAGAGAGATTGTGACGCTGGTGTGACCACACTCAAGTTGTACCGGAGACCAGCCGAACACCCAGGGCTTCGCTCTCCCAAGGCCATGGTTTTTCTGCCACAAAATGCTCCATTCAACCCAGGCATTTTTCTTGCAGGGCTCCTTTATTGCCCCAGGCAGGGAAGAGGCCCCTGACACGGCAGGGGAGGGCGCTGCCCTGGAGCCGGAGCCGGCAGGTCCCGAACGTACAGTGTGCACTTGTTCACCAATCACTGAGGGAAGAAGCCTTCTTGTTCTATGAGATTTTTTGCAAATTGTTTTTGTGTTTGCAAGATGAAATGTGTTACTTTCGTGGTTTTTACTATTTGGGGAAGGACAGGAGTATAGGATATGGTTGTTTCAGCGGCAATAATCACTTCCTGCAGATTCCAGTCTTTGGGTCTTGGTCAAGCAATGGCTGTTACTAAGTAGCCATTACATTGCACGCGGGGGTTTGCCGAGCAACGGGCCTGCCTCTGCTCTTGGGAGTTTATTCACTAACGTGGAGGGGGAAGGAAAACTGTACACAAATATGACAAAATATTCACATTTTTGCTTTTGTTTGTATAGAGGAAAATATCAGTCGAAAATCAACTATAATGTTTGGATTCTATCTCATTTACACTAAATAAATAGATACAATACTGTCAATTCTCCCTGCGGAAACAGATATTAGGGAAGTGTTCGACTTCATTATTATATTTAGAAAATCAGCATCTATGTGCTTTTGTTGTTTTGAGTGGTGTGTGGCTACAGAATAATCTGAAACACTGTGGTCTTGTTATCATATAATATGAAATCTTTCCCAAAGTTGTTTCTAAATGAAAAGTTTATTAAATGGAAATTACAAAGCCCAGTGTATTTGCTGCAAGACTCATAGCAACTGATGATGTTTTGTTTGTTTTGTTTTGTTTTGTTTTTATTTTTTTAGCTGTTGTAATAGTTTCTCAGGAATGCTGTAACAAAGTATCACAAATTGGGTGGCTTCCAACAATAGAAATGTATCATCTCACAGTTCTGGAGGCTGGAAGTCCAAGATCAAGGTGCGGGCTCTCTCTCTGGAACCTGTAGAGGAGGCTCTCCCCCTACCCTGCACCCTGCCTCTTCCTGGTGCCTGGTGGTGGCCGTCAGTCCTGGGTGCCCCTTGGCTGCAGCTAAGTGCCCCCGTCTCTGCCTGGGTCACGATCCAGCCTCCCCCTGTGTGTGTCTTCACAAGGCACGTTCCTCGTCTTATAAAGACACCAGTGACAATGGCTTCTGGCCCACCCTAATGACCTCTCCTTAACTCGATTACATCTGCAAAGACCCTGTTTCCACATAAAGCCACATTCACAGGTTCTGAGGGTTATGACCCCAATGTGTCTTTTTGGGGTGGGGGGAGGAAAGGATATACAGTTTAACTCCCAACGGATGTATGGGTAACATTTTGAAGAAGTGTTAGACACCATCTTGGTGGGCGGTGGAGAAGGAGAGACTCCCTTTGGCAAGACTGATTGATGACGTGCTACCGAGACTCACAGGTCAGAAGGGAAACGGGAACTCTGGCTGCCACGCCCACTTTGAGAACCACTGAAATCCGAGAGGTGTGAATAAATAGGCCCAGTCTAGTCAGGATATTACACAGCACCTGTAACAATGTGGAATCACTGAATATTCATAATAATACAAAAAACCCTACTCTCCCCCAATACTCTTCTGTGCCTACTCTTCCCCCCCATGTCTTCCCAGGCGGATCTGTCTTCCCAGTGGGGTGGGCCACCAGTCCTGACACCCTCCCAGGAATTCCTCAGAGGTGATCTCCTTCCCCTGCGGCGGCTTAGAACCCTCCCGGCCACCTCACCGCACACCCATGCAGCTGGGGAGGAGAAAAGGAGGAGATGATATTCTGAATAGTTGTGTTTGCCTTAAATCTGAACTTGACTGTGGGCAAATTTAAATAATCAAGAGGTGGCTATAGTGGTGGTGATCTAGAAAAAAATTTTTAAGTGCATCAGCTTTCTACTCGGCCTCTAAGTTTCGTGTCTTTCACCTCCCTGGAGTCATAAACTATCCATATCTCTTCCTTAGGCATTTCCTGTGCTCAGGAACTCAGCACGGGGAACAGAGCTGTCTCCACATTGAACACTCTGCACGTCTGATTGCCTGGTTCCGCCTGGACTTTGAGCTTCAACAGTGGGCGGGGGTTGGGGGGTGGCAGGACAGGAAGGGAGGGAGAGAGACGTCACCAATCAAGGGTTCTAGGAGGGTCAGTGACACAGAGGTTGGTTCACAGAGGTGGGGCGAGGAAGACTGCGCCCTCAGAGGTCTCAGGCTGGGACAAGGAGGCAGCAAACTATGGAACACAATTAGACACTAAAGACAAATAATAGCGGAGGGTCTAAGTGTTCACTGTAACTCAGTTCCTGGAGGAGAGTGTTATCTCTCTTACCCCGTTTCCCCAGCACACATGCCCCTGCCTGGCACACAGACACTCCAGTCTCTCTGACCGTCTTCCAGTTCTTCTGATTTGCAAAGCTCTTTGCTGCTCCTGAGCCATAGCCCAAAGTAAGAACATCTGATCTGAACACTCTTCTCTTTTCAAAACCTTTTCAAGCTTCCGTTCACAGCTTAAATGGTAGCTCCTTGCAGAGCATGCACTTTAAAGAAAATTACATGCATACACACACGCACACACACACACACACACACACACACCTTTATCACAGCATGCTATTCAGTGTCCCCGCAGCCCTACAACCATCTGCAATGGTCTGTCTCTCCAACAGCTTCTCCACCTGACTGCACGTTCTGGGAAGAGAAAGTTCATGTCCATCTTGCCCGCGCTTGTAGGCCCAGCAGTCAGCACACCCGAGGCTTTCAAAAGACCGTGGTTAAAGAACACAAGAATGGATATGTACACTCAGAATTTTAACACTGTATCACATGGGAATTTTGGCATACGCTAAAGATGGCATCTTAGACCAGCAGAGGAAAGATGAATTATTTATTAACTACCTAGGATCGATTAAATAACCAAAACAAAAGCTGACTCTATTCCTTCCTTACTCTATATCAAAATCAATTCCAAATGGATCGAAGATGTAAGCCTTAAGAAAATGAAGTTATTAAAAGAACATGAAGCAAATTATGAGAAGTTGTAGTCATCTTAGTGCAGAGATGTTTTTTCCGAGCAAGCCAAAGAAGAAAAGATGGATATATTTAAATACTTAAACACCAACACTTTCCTCACACACACATACACACTCTCAACATACTCAGAGACCAAAGACCAGCAACAAATTGGGGGAAAATGATTGTTACCCTTGACAAAAGCCTAGATCTTATTGTAAACCAAGTCTTGTTACAGCTAAATAATGACAAGACTAGTAACTCAAAATAAAAATCAAGGACCTAAGTAGACCACAAAAAATTCATGCAAAGGGCTTTTAAGAAATGAGACATACAGTTTTAAGAATGTCGAGGAAACAAGTATACATTAAACAGTGAGATAGCCATTTTTCATCTTTGAAATCGGTGTAAGTAAAAAAACATTAATACTGCTTAGTGTTGGCCAGCATGTGCAGAAGTGAGCCCGGACATGCCATCATGGGGTGGGGGGGGCATACGTGTGTCTTCAAAGTCAGCCTCATCGGTCCGCTGGCCTTTGAGAAAGGTTCAGCATGTCTATGTCTGTGCAAAGGACAGCTGGGCAATGTTCATGGCAACTTTAAATGCAAATGCTCTTTGGCCAGCAAATGCAACCTAAGAGTTTGTTCTACAGACAAACATGGACACATAGGCAAGGATTCATGCAGAAGACCAAAACAACCGAAATGACCTTGAGTAGTGGACAGATGAAATAAGGTTCGGTTCACGCCCATCATGAATCACCATACTGGGGGAAAAATATGCCGACGGCATGTATCTCTTTAGTATTTGACACATACACGATGTGGAGCATGATGCATTGTACAAACTCATCTGTCGAGAGGGGGAATAAAGCAGTCCAGGGATGGATAGACAGACAGCCAGACAGATAAACGGAGAGACGTGAAGCTGTATACATACCATTTCTGGAAGGATTCACAGGAAACCACGGGGGGAGGGGCCAGGAGTCAGCAGGCTTACTTTTCATGACACCTTTTCAAATCACTAAGAAGAATTTTTTTTGCTAACTCCGCATATTACTTTTTAATTTAAAAACTAGTTATATGATCAAATGATGTTACCATAACTCAGTGTAGTCCTCAGAAAGATTTTCTGTGCCAATAATAGTGATGTGAGAAAAATAGAAAGATGTTTCAGTCTTGTTTGGTTGAGGTATGAAATTTTAAATGAACACATAAAATAAAATAATCATGACTTTTGCAATAATCCAGAAGTGAGCTAGGTTTAGGCCTTTAGTTATGAGTAAGTTATTCAACTTAAAAAGCCTACATTTGATTGATTAATAAATATCTTATTTTAAAGAGATGGTGTGCTGAGGCAGGCTGGGCCAGGTAAGCTTATCTGCAAGCAGGCCACACCCTACCCATCCCCAACAATGTATTCATATTCAATGCCAAAAGTTACTCATTAAACTCAAGCGGTATTATGTCCTGGGAAAACCATTATAAACTTGGCCTTTAGCAGAGCTGATCTCTTAACAACTATCTCAGAAAGACGAAAATGGGCAATCGTCACGTAAGTATTTATTGCCTTTGGGAATCGAGCAAAGTTTTAATTTTGGTTATAGCATGTGCACAAATTTAAACTATTAAATCATGATCGGCACTTTTATACTTGACCATTGTGGTTAACCCTTATCACTGGTTTTTGCAATAGCACAGCATGCTTTTGAAATACATTTGCAATGTATTTTTCTCCGTTAGTCAAAAATCTCTTACAATGGAGATTAAGATTATGACTAAGATTAAGATTCTTTTAGAGAAGTGTTTACAACAAGGTAATAAACAGTGCCTTGCAGAGCGCAAAATGGTTAATATGCATTTGTGGAATGAGTGACTAAAGCTGTCGGTAGCAGAGTGGCACAGAAGTTCATAGACGATGGCCATTAGAATTTGGCAGGGAAGACAGGTTCTTGTTGCGAATATCAACAGATCAAGGTAAAATTATACTCCAGCAAGGCCGTAGCACTTGGATTGAAAGGTGAAAATATTCCAGTATGATTTCTAAACAGCATCCAACATCCAGATATTTGCAAATATCCATGAAATGGACTCAATAGTTTACTTTCCTTCTGAAATGCCTAGGCTCATGTGAATAATACATCTAAACCATTAATAACTACAAACTGCCAAAAACGCTACCATTTGGAACCAGCTATGCACAAGGCAGGTCAGAGTAAGATCTTAAAAAATGAATGGCTAAAGCTGTTGCAATAAGAACTTTAACAAGGCTTTGCGGCACCTACCATAGCTTCCCACAGCAAGGATGATTTACTGTGAGAACCCAAGGAGCGAGAGAATAAAGCTCCAAAATTATCTGTAAACTCTAACTTTATGTTTTTTTTCCTTTGCTATGAATTAAACTTGCACTCGGATGGTTGCAAACCTACAGATATCTTCTTCAGAGAGGCATTATTTTTAAATCACCTGTAAACGATATCACATACTAGCCAAGATTATAAGCCTGCAGTCAGAACATCTTTCAGAGAAAATGAAACCTACTCTTGAAACACTTGTGAGAGGGGCCGAGGACCTCAGGGGCCATGACCTGTCCCCGCACGGGCACTTCAGGAGGACATTTCATCCCTTGAAAGTCGACCTCCCAGGGCAGCTGACTCCTGTGATTTGTCTAGCATTCTTACGTATTTCTCTTTTGAATCTTCAGAGCCATTCTTACTCCCTCTCAGAAGGCAGCCAGCAGTTGCCCAAAGGGGACACCTCAGCCTCGACAGCCGTGCGCCCTCTCAGCCACCCGTCAGGGAGCGGACAGCTGGAGGCCCAGCAGCCTGTAAGCACGGTTTTCCCCTCCAAATCCTGGGTGGGACGGGGTTTTCTTCTGGGCCCGGTATTACTCACCAGTGACCTGTGGTACTGGACACACCCCTCCAGTCTGAGAATGTCATCGTCAGGCATCAAAAAAATGTCCCTGGGAAAATGTTTGCCATGATATTTGCAGCTAATATAAAAACGTAATTTTAAGAACTGAGTTTACACTTCCAATAGTGTCCCCTTAACAAGGACTAAAACGGGAGAGCATGAGGCTACAAGTGGCCACAATGACATTTTTTTAAATACTAATGATATTTAACGTGTGCCCAAGGAATGAATATGTTCTAAGGCTGTGTTTCTGAATGAGTAAATGCAAGGCCGTCTGACAGGACAAAAAAAAATTTGTCCCAGTAATGACTTACATCCTTTGCGTTAGAAAGTACCTTGCATATCTATAAACTTAAAGCAATGCTTGTAATTCTGAAGCAACTATGCAACAAAAACAAATTTAAAAAATTAAATAAAAAGGGGAAAATTTACATGCTAGTATAAAGCACAGGGCGAGGAGGTGCAAACGTGTGTCGCTGGTTCGGTGTCACGGACAAAGCTGCCGTGCGGGACTGAACGGCGGTGCGCAGTGTGAAACCCGTTCTGAGGGCCAGGGTGCGGCTCCTTCTGACTTGCAGCCCGTCCGCAACGGGATGTGGTGCGTGACTCCTGAGTTCTCCTACCACGTTTCTCTATCCACGCTACTGAGAAACTTCTGTGTGTCAGACTCCTGGGATACGATGGGGCCTCCTCTTGGCTAAACTGCGTGACTTCTACATCAAACCTCCCTCTGTTCTTTGTTCTGTTGTCGTCAGCCTGCAACAACAAACGTGTGGCTGCTCGGCATCTAGACAGCTGCACGCAGACACACAAATGCAGGCGCTGAGGTCTCGAGCCTTAGCCACGATGGGTCGTCCTGATGTGCAATGTGCTGTCGGTCATTTTTTAAGTTATCGGCACTAACTACACTATTGAAGAAACCTACCCGGAGAGCTCTGAGTCCCCAAGAACACGTCCACAGATCAGGGCTCGCACAGAACCGTCTGGCAGACACTGCTGTGAAGCCAACAGCGTCTGGGCCAGGAGGCGACGTTTTCCATGGTCCTAAAACATGGAATCCTAGACAATTCTGAAAACTGAAAATTACTTTTTTTTGCTTTGTGCTTTCCCCAATCCTTCTATCATCATTAATTATTTTTTTTTAAACTAGAGACCTAGTGTTTGTGACTAACGTATTTGGAGCACTAATAAGATTCTGGGTTGCTGTCATCAGCTAAATCACACCATGTCCACAGAGCCTGCTGAGCCTGGGGGTGCGTCCTTGAGTTCCATGAACTCTGTGCACAGACAGAAAAGTAAGACCCATCTTACTTGGAAAAATCTTCTTAGGTCTAGCCAGATGCCTCTCAGTATCTACCCTGGGAGTTGTTTTTGAGAAACTCAGTATCTAGAGCAAAAGAGTATTGAGATTGAGTGAGATGGCTTTGCAGAGAGTGTGGCTGTAGGGTATTAGCAAAGTAACAGAGAGAATGAGATGTAGTGGGGCCATTGATATATATGGGAAAGAATCACAAACTGAAGAGGACTCAGGATTTCTGGGGAATTATTTTCAAGGCCGATAAACAGGCACTACACGAGACCAGAGCCTTGCTACTCAAAGTGTGGGTCCTGGACAAGTATTGGTATCCACGTGGTTGCCTGGGAGCTTATTAGAAATGCAGAATCTCAGGCCCGCCCAGACCTCCTGAATCAGAATCTGCATCTTAAACAAGATCCTCCAGCGATTCTCATGTGTGCTAAAGTCTGAGAAGCGCTGAACTGGGGAACAAGTTCTCAAACTTGGATGCACACTGGGGAGTTCTAGAACCCACCGGTGCCTGCCCCCCAGAGCCTCTGAATGAACTGGTGTGGAGGTTGGCCTGGCCTCTGGGATTTGTAAATGCTCCCTAGACAATGCTACTGTACCACGGAGTTTGAGAAACACTGACCTGGGGCGTACCACTGTCTTTACAAGGACAGATCGGCACACTGTCCGTGAAAGCAGGTGCCATTACAACTGCCTGAAAGTGAAAGCCACCCTGTAAATGTGAGGACATCTGCTTAGCGTCCTGCCGTGGTGTTTGTAAACATGCTACGTTTATGACTTCCTTGTGCCAATATTTAGCCAACATAAATATTATCTAAGAGGGAGAACAGTGGTGGGTGAATAACAGGCAAGCTCAGATGAAGGTGGACAGGGAAGGACACTGGGGAGCCACAGGACAAGAGGGGAATAGGTCCAGATTCCCCAAAAAGAAGGGAGGCTGTGGAGGCAGGTAAAACTGTGACTGGGGATCTGAGATAAAAGTGGGTTTGGTTTTAACTGAGAGTGTGCACTAAAATGTGATAAAAAAAAAAGCCAAAGAAGCACAGTGAACCCCAAGCAGAAGCCAGCCTGGGCGAGGCAGTCGTACCTCTTCTCTCAGGAAATGTTTTGTGCCAGGAAGCTAGCGTGTCAGGTCCCCACCAGGAGTCACAACACCCCCGAACATCAAACAGGGCATGCAGTAAAGCACACCTTCTTGACTGAAACACAGGTTTCCCATTCGAAATCGAGCTGTCTTTGAGACACAGTTTCACAGTCGTGGCTTGGAGGTTTCTTGTCTACAGTAGATAAAGTGCAGTCATTTAAAGAGGTGGGGAAAGGCTTCCAGGACAAGGACGCAGACAGAAGGAAGAGCATGCAAACCGAAAACCTGACACAAGGACTCTCAAGCCATAGGAGCCTGGGCCCCTCAGTGGAGGGGGTGGAATGGAGGCACCCCAGGGCGTGCCAGCGTGTCTGCTCCACCTCACAGCAATAGGAGCCCCAACTCCTAGTGGTGAGGGCATAACTGGAGGTTTAAAGGGGCCTTCTTTGGAAATGACATGATGGCGACAACGGAAATTTGTCAAGAGCTCACTGCACCGTGAGCTGTTCTGAGGGCGTTGGCCCTGGTCGTTGATATTTGAGCCTTTCATTCCGCTTAGTGCTCTACCCATGGCACATCATTTAGTTCTCCCAACAGAGGGAGAGGCTATTATCTTTCACCTTTTAAATATGTGGAAAGTGAGGAAAAGAGAGGTTATGTCATTGGTCCAAGGTTGTACACGTAGGAGGTGAAGAATAGATTTGGATTTAGACAGAAGTTCTTCACACTATGCCTTGGGCTCATTACAGGCTCATATGACACCAAGTAGGAGCTAAAATATTGGGATTTCTGAAACTATTGAAGTGGGTGTTCACCTCGTCATCCACTCTCTACCCCATCCCTAACTTCCTCCTTTTCCCCCAGGCTGGACTAGATGTTCTTTTTTCTTTCTTTTTTAAAAAAATGTTCTTTCTTAATGCTTCCATAATACTCTGTACATAAAGCCATCCTTCTTCTCCCATGTGGTTTTAGAACTGTTTATACACCTTCCCTGCACTGGATTGATAGCTCTCTGGGGGTAGGACTGCATCCTTTTCATCTTTGCATACCCATTGCCAACACAATGTCTGGCACACAGAAAATGTTCAACAAGCATTTGATGAACTCATCAATTCATTAAATTTTCTAAAAGAGCCTTAAACCACTGGAGTCCAAATCCCTTTGCCCAGTCACACCCCAGACCACTGTGTGGGTAAGGTCGTGGTACCTGTGTGTTCAACATTCCCCTAGTGATTCCAATGCACCCAAAGTTGAGAACCATGGGTCTAATATTAGGTGTTCTTCTAGTGCCATGGTTCCTAAATGGGGTCCCCAGACCAGCACCATTGGTGTAACCTAGGATCTTGTTAGGAATGCAGATTTTGGGCCAGATCTACTGAGACAGGGAATCTGAGGGTGGGGCCTGCCCAACAGTCTGCAGCTGCACCAGCCCTCCAGGTGATTCTGATGTTCACTCAAGTTTGAGAGGCAATGTGAAAGCAAAAGGCTCTCACAGGCCCAGAGGCTAGGGCTTTGTCCCAGCCTTGGCAATGAACTACTCCCACCATTCAGCCTACAGACATGCCTGGATGACGGCATTTAAAATCTGCTTAGCCCTCGGCCCCTCACACCACATGCGACCCAGGGAACTGCCCCATTCTGCTCCGTCCTCCATCCCACCCCAGGCTGCACTTTCTCCCACCTCACCCTAGAGCAGAGGAAGGCAGCAAGAGGAGGCCCTCTGCTAGTGCAGAGGAAGGAAACTACTCTCCATTTTTTCAGGAAATTCTACATACTCTTTTAGAGAAACTACTATGAGCCAAGCACTGTCTGAGACTCTGTAGGTACACAGAAGAATAAGAAAAGCCCACAGCCCATACCTTGAAAATGGGCTCATGATCTAGAAAGGGAGGCAAACAAACAAATAATTATAATGACATGTGATAGATATGCTAACAGAAATGTGTCCATGGTAAAAAGACTGGAAATTAGACAGTGGAGAGAGTGGTTCTGTGCAGGAGAAACAAGGGGACCGCACTTTGGGAACCACTGCCTGAGGCAATCGGGAAGCCTCAGTGGATCTCAGACAAAGGAATGACAGGGTCAGAGCCATGCTTCGGATGGACCACGCTGGGAGCTGGTGGAGAAAGGGTTAGAGAGAAACACAAATGAGGGCAAGTAAAGCACTTGGGAAGCAGTGGTCCTGGAAAAAGATGACGAACCTCTGTCCCCAACTAAAACAATGACAATGGAACTGGAGAAGAAGACAGACTGAATGGTCAAGTCAACATAACTTGCTGGCTGATTGGATATGGGAGGGGAGGGACAAGGAAAAATAGAGTAACTCCCAGGTACCTGGTGTGTGCACCCGGGTAGATGGTGACACATCCTGGGGATAAGGCAGAGGAGAGGGTGAGTTTGGTTTGGGGATCTGCTGGGTTTGAGGCATCTGTGATATAGATGGGTATAAAGCCTAGCAGGTAGCTGGATCTGAAACTCAAGATAGAGACTCCCAGTCAAGGTAGAGGCGTAGGTAAACGCA